CTTTCTGATAAATATTCTGCGCTTTCAGTCCGTTGAACGCCAAGTTGCGGCCATCGAGGTAGAGTGTGCCAGAAAGCACATGGGATATCTGAAGCAGTTCCTCCCAGACAATTTCACCAAAGCAGGAGGTAGGAGAAAAATCTTGTCTCTCTTTTTGTATTGCAGTGTTTTTTTGCTTGCAAAAATTCGTCATGATTTCGCAGGAGACAACGATGCTGTGATCCTGAATGTGCTGTTCCCTCGTCTGGCAGCTAAAGCAAAACTCCTAACGAAGCTCATCGCTGAACGGGTACGCCTTCACTGTTCTTTATTTAGCGCAGTGTTAGACATAGCTGCAAGGCAGTGTACCCAGGCCTTGAGCAGTGTTCATACTTAACGATGACGCGTCGATGCGAACCGCAATTGTGACCGGGATTTGCGCTCTCCAAACCAACCATGACTTAGCTCAAGAAAACCCCTTCACCGGCTGGGCTAGTAGTAAGTTCGTTTCGTGCCCAAGGCTTCGATCGTAACAGGACCCGAATGGAGGATACCTCCCCAGTCTCATTTTTGGCCAGGTCACGAGCTTGCTATCAACTCAGTGGAGAGAAAGGGTCTCGTTGGAACTAGTGGCCGCCGGCTAAAAGGTTTCTCTGGAGAGGGATGTCCCCTTTCTCCAGTGTTTTGCGCCATCTCAAACATCGGCGTAGTTTAGGGGAATTTGTTGCGTCGGATCGGCACTGTAAATGGTGTCGTGCGTAGCACTAGGATCCAACTAATTGAAAGGGGAGCCATATGTCGTGTTAGATGGCTAAAAAGTACTGTACATTCACATATTTGTACGGATCTTCTGTGCTACGCTCTCCTTTGGAATACATAATGCAGCGTTCAGACTTCGCGACGGCAGCGCTTCGGTCGCGCGTTCGACGCGATCAATGCAGTCGAAAGCATGCGCATGCGCATCGATCGCGTCGAACGCGCGACCGAAGCGCTGCTGTCGCGAAGTCTGAACGCTGCCTAACTCTTTATCTCATCGTCCTTCTTTTCCAATCTCTTTCATGTACTTTTCAACTATGCGTGTTTATAGTTCCCTGGAGTTCCTGGTGGAACACGTCGCGAACATGTCACGAAATCACACAAAGCCGAGCACTGGGCCCACTCAGCTCGCATTGCTTATACCATGAACGCACTGGTAGCTGTATGTGGCCAGTTTGAAAGGTGAGTGGTACCATTTTGCTGACTTTTTCGTTCAAGTTGTTAGGAAGCGTTTTATGCTACGACCGACCAATTTTAATCTTACTGATACCTTTGAATTCTGGGCTTTTCCCTTGCAAATGGAATGTTTTCATCATGCGCGACCTTTAAGGCGTTAAATTCCATC